CGGTTAGGTTGTGCGGGTATCGGGCCGGGCCCGACTGCTTGGAACCGGAAGCGCTCCAATGCCTGCAGCGTGCTTAGCCAGTTGGCGAGCCGCGTGATGTCAGACCCCGTCTCTTCAAGCCAGCGATTGAAGTGCCTCTCCCAGTCGGGAATTGCCTCTTGGGTGGTTGGGTCAAAGAGGACTGGCCAGTCTGAGTGGCGTTGGAGGTGGACGGAGAGGCATCGAATTATCCCCATGTGCGTGGATGGTGATCTAGCTGATGTTGCGCCGGCGGTGCGAGGGATATATTTTTGTTTGCCCTCTGTTTCTTCTGCCTCCGTCGATGGCATTCGCAGTGGTGGGAAAGACTTCAATCCGGCCGAGGACAAGGTCATGTCTTCCATGAGCACGCCTACCGCAATGCAGTACCAGTACTTGCACACGAGGAGTTTCTCCATCCTGTTGGCTTTGAGTTCGGAGGCGCCGACATGTTTAGCGATGCTGAGGAGGATTTCAGTGGGGAGGGAGGTAAGAGGTGAGTCTGTATCTGTGCTGTTGTCCTTCGTGGCGATGGTTGGCATCGTGGATATCATCTTCGCGGTGATAGTGTTCAAATGTGTATGTCCTTTCTCTGGGGCTTTTAAAACCTATATTCGATTGGAACCCGGAGAGCAGGTTTGCCGTACACACGCCGGAGGGGTTGCTGCGTAGAGATCCTTATATCTACCGCTCACTCCTGCAGTGATATATATCAGATCTCACCAACCCAACCAACCAATTGATTTGAGACCCCGTCAATCGCTGACGTATGCGCCTTTTTTTGGGCGTTGCAGTTTTCTTGTTTTGTTTTCTCAATCGCGATTTCACCTGCAACTTCGGGTGCCAATTAAATCTGAAAAACAAATCAGACCAAACTGAAAGACCAAAAAAATGAGGAGAAGAAGAAAAAAAATATGATGTGACTGGGGCGGGGCAGTGAGAGCTCACTTACTCAGTTCCTTTGTTCCCTTTACCAGTCAATATAACAGCCAACTGCTGACGTTAGTTGGAGGAGACTACTAACTTATTATTTTCTTCTCGTTCATGACTGACTAGGTATATATGCAGCCCATATGCCAGTTCTTAGATATTATCAGAGAAATGAGAGTTCTTAAAAAATCTGCATCTGAATCTGACACCCACCCATCTCCCTCCCCTCCCTCATCATCGGAGTGAAATAATAACAAGGTGAAATACTATGATATCATCACAACACTCCTACGTAAGACAAGACAAAAAAAAATTTCTTTCAATCATTCAGGGATTAATAACTAATCAGTAAATTGCCCCCGATAAGAAACAACCCAGCCAGTTCAATACGCAGTACATGCACATGGACAGACATACCCTCAACCCGCGTATACCCACGCTGATACGCGGGGCTACAAATATTACGCTCCGGAGCGGAGCGGGATTGAGTAGTTAAAACATACATACAGACAGAACAGAAATGAAACAATAAAAGAAAAGAAAGGGATAACCTTACTGTATCCATCCGGGTCTTAAACTCCTATCTACAGTAGCAGGGCATATAGGTAGGTATCGTCCATTCATGTAATAGAAACAAAAAAAAAAAAAGCCTCCTACTTTTCCGACTGGTTCTAGATATATTATAAAGTGTTGGTATTCCCAATCCCATCCCATCACCAATCCTCCTTTATTATGGTTTGCGGATCGCGGAGTTATATTTATAAACACCATCTTTCGCCCTATCTATGCCTTACCTTACCCTATCTTGTGCGTTCGTTCCCGGTGGCTTCGGGATTATTTATACTAGGATAGTTGAGGGATCAGGAATACTGCAGTACAGCTAACACAGCCCAGCCTGGTACATGCTATTGCTCAGCTCAGCTTGGGTCGGGTCGGATTTCCTTACAAATTGCTTGCTCTGCGATCCTGCCTACCCACTGAGTAATGAACACGACTCTGGCGCCAGGATCCAGGATTGTGGTATATATATATAGCCTACAATAGGCGCTTTTTGTCTAATGAGGGAGGGAGGGGGGGGTTCGGGTAATAAAAGACCCTAATAGGTTCCTGGGATCTAGAAGGAGGTTGTAAATGTTTGGTGGGGTGGGGGAATTGGAGGTAATTTTAACCAGTTTAAGGGCATTCATGGGCAGGTATAATTATTCTCTGTTTGGGTTTTGTTTGATCTCTGGTTGGATGAGTGCGTTGAGGAGAGTTGCGTTGTTGCGTTTGGAGATTGAAATTAAATAGTTACTACCCATGACGTCGTATGTCGGTTATGCTCACCACTACGACTGCTCAGCAAACAGAAGGATAAATTATAAATCTGCTAACTAATCTACATAATCAAAAGTATCTAGTCGCGCCACTCATGAAATCATGAAGGCGGCGTACAGGATATACGGCAATTCAAATTGCCCCGAAAATCCTTATGGGCCTAATTCCGATTCCCGGCTCCCCGCATTTTCCATGGATGCGGGCAATCGACGGGGGCAAGGAAAGCAAGCAACATACTCGGAATAATATACCTAGCTTAGCATTGACCACGTTGGATCTCCGCCCTCCATCTTATGCGTACATTGCCGCTAACTAGTTTGCGTGCGAGGGAAGCAATCAGCAGTGCTGCTTGACTGGATATCCGAATTCATTTGCTCCGCACTCTTCCCTTTAACAACTGTGAGCCCCCGCCCCGCCATCATCATCAATCAATAAAAGCGAACCCAGGCAAAAAGAAAAAAAGAAAAGAAAAAGAAATGCCACCAACCACCCAGGCCATCGCCACCGCCCAACGCCCCCATTACAAAATTGCCTCGATACCCGCGGACGGCATCGGGCCCGAGGTGATAGAGGCGGGTATCACGGTGTTAAACAAGCTCGCCTCCACGCTGAAGACGTTTGATATCTCCTTTGAGAACTTCGAGTGGAGCAGTGCCTACTATAAGAAACATGGCAAGTATCTGCCGGATGACGCGCTGGAGACGTTGAGGAGGTTCGATGCGATCTTGTTCGGGGCGGTGGGGGCTCCTGGTATGTTTTGTTGTATATTGTTGTTTTCAGAGTAAATATGAGAGGTGAATGATTCAAGGAGATTTCCGAAGTGTCGGTGGGTGGGAGGAGGGGTCTTAAGAGACGTTTATCCCATGTTGGGTATCCGCTCACCATTAATTATCACAGATGTCCCGGATCACATCTCCCTCTGGGGACTCCGCCTGGCAATCTGCCAACCACTCCAACAATACGCCAACGTCCGTCCTACAAAGGTATTCCGCGGTACCCAATCCCCACTCCGCGGCTGCAAACCCGGCGACCTAGACTGGGTCATCATCCGCGAGAACTCCGAGGGCGAGTATGCCGGCCACGGCGGACGCAGCCATGTCGGCAAGCCGTGGGAGGTCTCCACTGATGTTGCCATTTTCACGCGCCATGGCGTCGAGCGGTTGATGAAGTTTGCGTTTGAGACGGCGCAGCGACGCCCGAGGAAGCAGATCACGGTTGTTACGAAGAGTAATGCGCAGCGGAATGGGCTGGTGATGTGGGATGAGGTTGCGGCGGAGGTGGCGAAGGGGTTTCCTGATGTCAAGTGTGATAAGATGCTGGTGGATGCTATGACGACGCGCATGGTGTTGAAGCCGGAGAGTTTGGATACGATTGTTGCGACGAATTTGGTATGTCTCTGACAGAACCTTGTTTCTTTTGGTTTATATTGCCATGCTGATGTCTATGTGTCTTGCCGTGCTAAAGCATGCCGATATCCTTTCCGATCTTGCAGCCGCCCTTGCAGGATCAATCGGCATCGCACCAACGAGCAACCTTGATCCTACGCGTGAGAACCCATCAATGTTTGAGCCGATCCATGGATCCGCATTTGACATCACCGGAAAAGGCATTGGTAAGTGAAGTAGACCCCTTATTTTTCGACAATCTGCTGACGGTAAATCAAATTAGCCAATCCTGTAGCTACATTCTGGACAGCCGCTGAGATGCTTTCCTGGCTAGGCGAGAAGAAAGCTGCCGCCGAACTTTTGGAATGCGTAGAGTCCGTTTGCGAGAGGGGAATAGTAACGCAAGATTTGGGCGGGAAAAGTACGACGATTGAAGTGACGAATGCAGTGTGTGAGGAGATAGAAAGGCAGCTAGGAGGCGGGAAATGAACTTAAGACCGCTCTTTGTTAATACTTGCAAGAAGTATAAAATTTGTGATATAAATAGATGCCCCTGGTTAGGGAGATCACTGGAATAGTTCTAGTTCCCACAGCTGGCCGGAATTGGAACTTGGATAGAGATGAGATTTGAGCCTGTAAAGGCGTCAACATACGGCAGGCAATGAACCTCACGAACACTGCACGGATTATTCGCTCCCCATTTAGGTGGCCGAAGGCTGAAATACCCACCTCCTTCCTTTGTGAAGGCTAGCCACGAGCGGAAGCATGAGCACAGGCATACACATCTCACGGCCACCTGACCACTGACTGGCTAGGGAAATTTCACCATTTAATTCCTCAGGGGTGCCTGTTTAACAATTAGCCTTAGCTAATACTGAGAGACTTCGTCCGTTGCTGAGCCCATCAAACGGTAGGCATGTATCCCGGGCATTGATACGCGTATTAGAAGTATAACAGCATATGTTCTCTTCGACAGGTGGGACTAGTTGATTTCCTACATCACTCTATTAGGACATGTAGGAGGATCCGCATGGAAGTGGTGAGAATAAGGAGCGCTCCAGCGTAGTATGTCCGCTCTGACTCCCGCAGCGACAGCTAGATTTAGCACGTTGAATCCGTAAAATCAAAGAGGGGGAAAACGTGTAAGCTGATACGGGGGGGGGGG